TCCACTCCACGCACTCACCACACGCCTCCTTGAGCCGGTCTATAGCCACTGAGTCCCATACGTCCTACCACTCACCACAGGCACCCAGTCGTCCCACGCTAGCACATCCCCCCACCACGGATCAACCCCCCCCACCACGGATCAACCCCCCCCCACGGATCAACCCCCCCCCACGGATCAACCCCCCCTTTTTCACATTCCACTCCACGCACTCACCACACGCCTCCTTGAGCCGGTCTATAGCCACTGAGTCCCATACGTCCTACCACTCACCACAGGCACCCAGTCGTCCCACGCTAGCACATCCCCCCACCACGGATCAACCCCCCCCACCACGGATCAACCCCCCCCCCACGGATCAACCCCCCCCCACGGATCAACCCCCCCTTTTTCACATTCCACTCCACGCACTCACCACACGCCTCCTTGAGCCGGTCTATAGCCACTGAGTCCCATACGTCCTACCACTCACCACAGGCACCCAGTCGTCCCACGCTAGCACATCCCCCCACCACGGATCAACCCCCCCCACCACGGATCAACCCCCCCCCCACGGATCAACCCCCCCCCACGGATCAACCCCCCCTTTTTCACATTCCACTCCACGCACTCACCACACGCCTCCTTGAGCCGGTCTATAGCCACTGAGTCCCATACGTCCTACCACTCACCACAGGCACCCAGTCGTCCCACGCTAGCACATCCCCCCACCACGGATCAACCCCCCCCACCACGGATCAACCCCCCCCCCACGGATCAACCCCCCCCCACGGATCAACCCCCCCTTTTTCACATTCCACTCCACGCACTCACCACACGCCTCCTTGAGCCGGTCTATAGCCACTGAGTCCCATACGTCCTACCACTCACCACAGGCACCCAGTCGTCCCACGCTAGCACATCCCCCCACCACGGATCAACCCCCCCCACCACGGATCAACCCCCCCCCCACGGATCAACCCCCCCCCACGGATCAACCCCCCCTTTTTCACATTCCACTCCACGCACTCACCACACGCCTCCTTGAGCCGGTCTATAGCCACTGAGTCCCATACGTCCTACCACTCACCACAGGCACCCAGTCGTCCCACGCTAGCACATCCCCCCACCACGGATCAACCCCCCCCACCACGGATCAACCCCCCCCCCACGGATCAACCCCCCCCCACGGATCAACCCCCCCTTTTTCACATTCCACCTCCACGCACTCACCACACGCCTCCTTGAGCCGGTCTATAGCCACTGAGTCCCATACGTCCTACCACTCACCACAGGCACCCAGTCGTCCCACGCTAGCACATCCCCCCACCACGGATCAACCCCCCCCACCACGGATCAACCCCCCCCCACGGATCAACCCCCCCCCACGGATCAACCCCCCCTTTTTCACATTCCACTCCACGCACTCACCACACGCCTCCTTGAGCCGGTCTATAGCCACTGAGTCCCATACGTCCTACCACTCACCACAGGCACCCAGTCGTCCCACGCTAGCACATCCCCCCACCACGGATCAACCCCCCCCACCACGGATCAACCCCCCCCCCACGGATCAACCCCCCCCCACGGATCAACCCCCCCCTTTTCACATTCCACTCCACGCACTCACCACAACGCCTCCTTGAGCCGGTCTATAGCCACTGAGTCCCATACGTCCTACCACTCACCACAGGCACCCAGTCGTCCCACGCTAGCACATCCCCCCACCACGGATCAACCCCCCCCACCACGGATCAACCCCCCCCCCACGGATCAACCCCCCCCCACGGATCAACCCCCCCTTTTTCACATTCCACTCCACGCACTCACCACAACGCCTCCTTGAGCCGGTCTATAGCCACTGAGTCCCATACGTCCTACCACTCACCACAGGCACCCAGTCGTCCCACGCTAGCACATCCCCCCACCACGGATCAACCCCCCCACCACGGATCAACCCCCCCCCCACGGATCAACCCCCCCCCACGGATCAACCCCCCCTTTTTCACATTCCACTCCACGCACTCACCACACGCCTCCTTGAGCCGGTCTATAGCCACTGAGTCCCATACGTCCTACCACTCACCACAGGCACCCAGTCGTCCCACGCTAGCACATCCCCCCACCACGGATCAACCCCCCCCACCACGGATCAACCCCCCCCCCCACGGATCAACCCCCCCCCACGGATCAACCCCCCCTTTTTCACATTCCACTCCACGCACTCACCACACGCCTCCTTGAGCCGGTCTATAGCCACTGAGTCCCATACGTCCTACCACTCACCACAGGCACCCAGTCGTCCCACGCTAGCACATCCCCCCACCACGGATCAACCCCCCCCACCACGGATCAACCCCCCCCCCACGGATCAACCCCCCCCCACGGATCAACCCCCCCTTTTTCACATTCCACTCCACGCACTCACCACACGCCTCCTTGAGCCGGTCTATAGCCACTGAGTCCCATACGTCCTACCACTCACCACAGGCACCCAGTCGTCCCACGCTAGCACATCCCCCCACCACGGATCAACCCCCCCCACCACGGATCAACCCCCCCCCCACGGATCAACCCCCCCCCCACGGATCAACCCCCCTTTTTCACATTCCACTCCACGCACTCACCACACGCCTCCTTGAGCCGGTCTATAGCCACTGAGTCCCATACGTCCTACCACTCACCACAGGCACCCAGTCGTCCCACGCTAGCACATCCCCCACCACGGATCAACCCCCCCCACCACGGATCAACCCCCCCCCCCACGGATCAACCCCCCCCCACGGATCAACCCCCCCTTTTTCACATTCCACTCCACGCACTCACCACACGCCTCCTTGAGCCGGTCTATAGCCACTGAGTCCCATACGTCCTACCACTCACCACAGGCACCCAGTCGTCCCACGCTAGCACATCCCCCCACCACGGATCAACCCCCCCCCACCACGGATCAACCCCCCCCCCACGGATCAACCCCCCCCCACGGATCAACCCCCCCTTTTTCACATTCCACTCCACGCACTCACCACACGCCTCCTTGAGCCGGTCTATAGCCACTGAGTCCCATACGTCCTACCACTCACCACAGGCACCCAGTCGTCCCACGCTAGCACATCCCCCCACCACGGATCAACCCCCCCCACCACGGATCAACCCCCCCCCCACGGATCAACCCCCCCCCACGGATCAACCCCCCCTTTTTCACATTCCACTCCACGCACTCACCACACGCCTCCTTGAGCCGGTCTATAGCCACTGAGTCCCATACGTCCTACCACTCACCACAGGCACCCAGTCGTCCCACGCTAGCACATCCCCCCACCACGGATCAACCCCCCCCACCACGGATCAACCCCCCCCCCACGGATCAACCCCCCCCCACGGATCAACCCCCCCTTTTTCACATTCCACTCCACGCACTCACCACACGCCTCCTTGAGCCGGTCTATAGCCACTGAGTCCCATACGTCCTACCACTCACCACAGGCACCCAGTCGTCCCACGCTAGCACATCCCCCCACCACGGATCAACCCCCCCCACCACGGATCAACCCCCCCCCCACGGATCAACCCCCCCCCACGGATCAACCCCCCCTTTTTCACATTCCACTCCACGCACTCACCACACGCCTCCTTGAGCCGGTCTATAGCCACTGAGTCCCATACGTCCTACCACTCACCACAGGCACCCAGTCGTCCACGCTAGCACATCCCCCCACCACGGATCAACCCCCCCCACCACGGATCAACCCCCCCCCCACGGATCAACCCCCCCCCACGGATCAACCCCCCCTTTTTCACATTCCACTCCACGCACTCACCACACGCCTCCTTGAGCCGGTCTATAGCCACTGAGTCCCATACGTCCTACCACTCACCACAGGCACCCAGTCGTCCCCACGCTAGCACATCCCCCCACCACGGATCAACCCCCCCCACCACGGATCAACCCCCCCCCCCACGGATCAACCCCCCCCCACGGATCAACCCCCCCTTTTTCACATTCCACTCCACGCACTCACCACACGCCTCCTTGAGCCGGTCTATAGCCACTGAGTCCCATACGTCCTACCACTCACCACAGGCACCCAGTCGTCCCACGCTAGCACATCCCCCCACCACGGATCAACCCCCCCCACCACGGATCAACCCCCCCCCCCACGGATCAACCCCCCCCCACGGATCAACCCCCCCTTTTTCACATTCCACTCCACGCACTCACCACACGCCTCCTTGAGCCGGTCTATAGCCACTGAGTCCCATACGTCCTACCACTCACCACAGGCACCCAGTCGTCCCACGCTAGCACATCCCCCCACCACGGATCCACCCCCCCCACCACGGATCAACCCCCCCCCCACGGATCAACCCCCCCCCCACGGATCAACCCCCCCTTTTTCACATTCCACTCCACGCACTCACCACACGCCTCCTTGAGCCGGTCTATAGCCACTGAGTCCCATACGTCCTACCACTCACCACAGGCACCCAGTCGTCCCACGCTAGCACATCCCCCCACCACGGATTCAACCCCCCCCACCACGGATCAACCCCCCCCCCCACGGATCAACCCCCCCCCACGGATCAACCCCCCCTTTTTCACATTCCACTCCACGCACTCACCACACGCCTCCTTGAGCCGGTCTATAGCCACTGAGTCCCATACGTCCTACCACTCACCACAGGCACCCAGTCGTCCCCACGCTAGCACATCCCCCCACCACGGATCAACCCCCCCCACCACGGATCAACCCCCCCCCACGGATCAACCCCCCCCCACGGATCAACCCCCCCTTTTTCACATTCCACTCCACGCACTCACCACACGCCTCCTTGAGCCGGTCTATAGCCACTGAGTCCCATACGTCCTACCACTCACCACAGGCACCCAGTCGTCCCACGCTAGCACATCCCCCCACCACGGATCAACCCCCCCCACCACGGATCAACCCCCCCCCCACGGATCAACCCCCCCCCACGGATCAACCCCCCCTTTTTCACATTCCACTCCACGCACTCACCACACGCCTCCTTGAGCCGGTCTATAGCCACTGAGTCCCATACGTCCTGAGGAAGCAAGACATTAGGGGCATGGCAAAAGGGGTGTGGGGCGGGGGAAGAGGGGTGGAGGGTTGGGAGAGAGATAAGAAGGGGAGACACGCAGATTTTAAAACGTCAGAGTTGATGTGGACACCCGGAGTTTGGCATTTATGAAAGCGGACATTCACGACAGAACACGTGGGAAAAAAAAAAAAAAAAAAGATACCTTGGTGAGTGTGAAGGCCCGTTGCAAGTCGAGCTCCAGAGTGTGGTATGACCCTAGCTGCAGTGCAGCAGCGTGAGAAGAGATATGGGAGCAGATGAGGCAGCGTGGTTACAGCGTAAGGGCAGACACGGGCAAGAGAGGAGGGGGTGGAAATGAAAGGAGACGGACAGCTGGATGATACAGCTGCAGATCCAGGTCCAGTGTCCAGTGTGTGTTAGGACCCCAGCTGCAGCAACCTGATGAGAGCAGTATGGGGGAGAAAGGGGGATGAGCAGGTCGATGACAACGCTGCAGATCCAGTTCCAGTGTCCACTGTGTGTTAGGACCCCATCTGGGGAGCTGGGGGCGTGTGTTGTAGGAGTTTTGAGACGTCTCTTTCAATGTTTTTGAGTTTTGAGACATCTCAAAGTCCAGTGTCCAGTGTGTGGTTTGTAGGACCCCAGCTGCAATTCGGAGCAGAGAGCTGGGGGAGTGTGTGGTAGGATGCCAGTACTCACACTCGGATGGCTCACGCTCACTGCCCTCACACTCACTACCCTCACACTCATTCCCCTCACGGTCCCCTCACCTTCACATGCTCATTCTCAGTGATGTTCTTTCCGCGAACTCGAATGACATGTGCCGATGCATCGAAATCCACTTCCTGAATATTGACAATTGGGGAAGAAGAAAGACGGGGGAGTGCTTCTGCGAGCTCTCAAAACTCAAATGATGTGTGCCAATGCTTCGAAATCCACTTCCTGTTGGGGTTGGGAGGGGAGGTGGAGCAAGCAATGGGGTAAAGCAAGCGAAATTGTTTGAGCAGACTCAAAACTCAGTCCCTCTTGATTGACATGCAACAGCAAAAGAGCGGAGGGATGGTAATGGAGGAAGGCAAGGAGTATCCGCATCTCACAGATATGACTGAGATGTAATATACCTCAGACTTACCAACACTGTGAATTCCCGAGTTGTAATATATACTCTCCCCTCCCCTCTCACCTCACCTCCACTTCCAGCCTTAGTTTGATCCTCTCTGAGTCACTGCCGCCCCCTCAACCCCACACCGACAAGTCCTCTCATCGCACTCACCCCACCACCACCATAGCCCTCCCCTCTCACCTCCACTGCCACTTCCAGCCTCAGCTTGATCCGCTCCGACTCACTGCCGCCCCCTCCCGTCTCCTTCTGCACCTTCCTGAAACCATCCAGCAAGAGAAGGGAGGTAGATTTGTGGGAAGGATGAGGGAGAGTTTGTTTGGGGAAATTGAGTCAACGCATGAGAAGATTACTTTGAGTCGACTCAAAACAAAACACGACCTGTGTTTTGGGTCGACTCAAAAGTGTTGGATTGGGGAATTTGAGTCAGCGCATGAGAGAAGATTATTGAGTTGACCCACAACGATTGCTTGCTGCGTTAGTTCAGGTACTATAAAAAAACACCCGAGCGTTCAGGTATGAGGGTCCATTCAGGCACCTGAACATCCATCTGAGAATGTACCTGAACATCCATCTGAGAATGTACCTGAACATCCATCTGAGAATGTACCTGAACATCCACCTGAGAACGAACCTGAACGTGGTGCTCTGCACATGGTCGAGCGGAGCAATGAGGTTGTAGGCATGCCATAGGTCCTCCTCCACCTCGGGTACGATCTAGTTTGGGAGGGAGATGGAGTGGAAGATGGGAAGCAGGTTGCAAAAGGGGGTTGGGGGGGGGATGGGAGGTGGGGGAGAACACGAGGGAGGGATGCGGAGCAATGAGGTTGTACGCATACCGTAGGCCCTCCTCCACCTCGGGTACGATCTGGTGGGGGGGAGATTGGGGAGGGAAAAAGGGAGAAGAGGAGGGGGGAAGGTGTGGGGGGAGGGTTGTGCAATGAGGTTGTATGTATGCATGCCGTAGGTCCTCCTCCACCTCGGGTACAATCTGGTGTGATGGAAAAAAGGGAGGGAGAAGGGGAGAAGAGGAGGGGGGAGTGTGTGGGGGAACGGTTGTGCAGTGAAGTTGTACGCATGCCATAGATCCTCCTCCATTTCGGGTACGATCTGGTGAGATGGAGGTAGGGGAGGGAGGAGGGGGCAGAAAGAGGGTATATGGATCACCTATTAGCATTTCTAAGCAGCCTTACAATGCATTCTCAGCAACATTTTTTTTCTCAGAAGGGGGAGGGAGGGGAGTGAGGGGTGGGGAGGAGAGGAAATGCGAGTAGTCGAAGGAAACGCGACATGTGCCATACTTCTCAACACACCTTGGCCACCCCTGGGCCGTCCTTCTCGAAGCTTCTCTTCAGAAGCTTCATCGCGGTTTCCGACGGCGCAGCTTCGTTCGGATCGACGAGACTTTTTAGTCTGGTAGAAAGTCAGACGGCGCAAGCTAGTCTAACACGAAACCGTCTGCTTTTGGACTGTACCGATGGGATGCGCGAGTTCCTAATGAAACCGTTGACTCTGATTCGTTCGCCACTAGAAACTGGCACGAGAATGTTGTAGATTTTACTATCTAGCTGTGTGAGGAGATCGGATGTTTTCATTCGTTTTTATTTGCGGTTCACTCACTAGTGAGGACGGAAGCATAATTTTTTGGACTAGAAGCTTCTGGGATCATAGGGGTGGAGCGCGCATGTCTGGTCGCATCGGAACCATACTAGACCCGCTTGGATGTTTCTTCACCCAACAGAACCGTGCCAACTCCGTTACTTCAAAGATATCTTAACCAAGAATTCCGCTTCTGAGTAGGTGTTCTCCCAACCATGGCACACCAGATCACAGATTACATTCGCATATGTTCATGTTCTCTACTCTAGATGTGTGTGAGGGTATAAGGCAGATTCAGTTATTATATTTTCATATTTAATGCAAATTACATTGGCACAGCAAGGCAGCATTCCGAGAATGTTTCTGAAACTCCACCACCAGCAAACACAAAGCTTACCGTACTAGCTACTTCCAGCTCACCATTCCTAGAGAGACAGAAAAAACACCACAAGAAAACCAAACAATCTCATACATCTTCAGCACCTTCTTGCTTCTATTCTCCAAGGTTCCCCGCCACCTCACAGCCATCCCTGCAAGACTCCTGAAATCTCTCCAATGACTGCCAACGCAATCTAGTCATCACCATCATCATCATTGTTCCCGCGTCCTCCGTTCCTCCCTCCCTTCCTGCCCGCCCCACTCCCATTGCAGTTTCCAGACCCACTTCCATTGCAGTTCCCACCACCTCCCGAACCACTCCCCTTCCTGCCCGCACCACTCCCATTGCAGTTTCCAGACCCACTTCCGTTGCAGTTCCCACCTCCCCCACCGCTCCCCCTCAACCCCGCGCCAGCCCCCTTCCCTGCGCCTGCAGCCGTGCGTCCCGCCGCTCCCTGCCGCCCGCCCCCGCCGCTCATGCCGCCCGCTCCGCCTGCGCCTGCGCCACGTCCGCGGCCCTGCTGCTGCCCCGAACCCTGCCGACCAGCACCGCTGCCGCTGCCATTGCAGCCGCCAGATCGCGAGCACGAGGAGGAACGGGAGGAACCAGAGCCGGAGCCGTCGCGCTTGCGGTCGCGGTCGCGGTCCTGGTCGCCAGAGCCGTCCCTCTTGCGATCCCTCTCCCTGTTCTCCGCCACCACGTACCCCGCGCTCTGAATGCTCGCCGCCGCCGCCCCGTTTCTCCCCGACCCTCCGCCCCCACCGTTGCACGAGCTGGATCCGCCGCTGCAGTTTCCGCTGCCCTTCTTGCCTTGTCGCACCTTGCCAGCGCTGTTGCTGCCGCCCAGCTGCCCGCCGCGACCCGCACCCGCGCCAGCGCCGCTCCCCGTTCGTCCCGCTCCGCCTCCGCGCCCGCCTGCGCCGCTTCCGCCCTGCCGGCCGCTGCCCTGCCGGCCGCCGCCGCCGCTGCCTGTGCAGCCGCCGGATTTGCTGCAGGAGCCGTCGCCCTGCTGGCCAGTGCCAGTTTTCTGGCGGCCGCCGCTGCCGCTGCCGGTGCAGCCGCCGGACTTGCTGCAGGAGCCGTCTCTGTCACGGTCCCTGTCGCGATCCTGGTCGCGGTTGCCGGAGCCGTCCCGCTTGCGATCGCGCTTCGGACGGTCGTCGTCGTCGTCGTCTGCGACAGCGAAGGTCGCCAGGCTGGCAACGACGAGCAGGAGGATCCCAAGGGCGAGAAGCTTCGACGAAGCCATTGGTATACTCAGATGTCCACGGATGGTCTACAGAGCGGGTCGGTACTTGTAGTAGCAGAAACGAAAGACCTATAGAGCCAGAGAAAGAGTTAAGCTGCTATCGAGAGAGGAATGGAGGATTTGGTTCCAGAGGATGATGAGAGACAGGAAATGGGATCGAGATTTATAGTACATTCGGGTGGTAATGGTTTGGGGGCTGTGCCGCGGTGGTTCCGCGGGGCTGTCGCGCCCTGGTTTCCGCCGAGAGCGTGGCGCACTGCGCTGGTGTTAGGCGCGAACCTGCTCCACTCGAGTTCAGGGAACGCGCGCCGCCGTCGCTGCAGAACACACACACGCGGCGGGGGGGCGCGAGCGCGACACATGCAGAACGCGCAACACACATGCCGCAGCGGAACGAGACGTGGCGAGGCGACATCCAGGCTTGCACGCGCAACCGAGGCGTAACTCGAGTAAGCCCCATTCCACCCTCGGCGGAGGCGGCTGTGGGCGAAGCGTTTCCGCAGTAGTGAGACTGAGCGCTTGCGCGAGAATGCGCGGCGCCGGGGGAGGAGGGAGGGAGGGACTGGTGAAGAAGAGGGTCTTCCTGCGCTCGGAAGTTTCTTCGGAAAGGACGGGCGGAATGGCCGCCACGCCCTTGACGAGCTGCACGCGCATGTTGAAATACATCCGGACTGGCCGTTAGCTAGAGTGGCTCAAAGGGTGGGGTGGGGTGGGATTCGGCTGCCAGCCGAACTTACTCGCTGCCATTCTTCTAGCCACGCTGGATGCAACTGCCAATGGCAGGTCTCGTAGGGTTGACCTGTCAGGTAACTTACTGGCAGGTTATGCCCTTGGCAGTGTCGTAGCCAACCAACCATGGTTTCATGATAACATATGCTACACCATGGCGCACCATAAAATCTTTTTACGACAGCACAACAAACGCTCGTACGCGTGCTGAGCTGGCGCAATATTTCGACTAGCTGTGGTGCGCTGCACGGTCATACCTACAAGTTTACGAATCGTTTCTGGCGAAGGCTCGGACTAGCTGGGTTTTCCCTCGAAGCAGCTTCGAGGGAAAACCCACCTGGACAGCTGCTGAGGAACGAATCGTGCATGCTGGGTTTACGAATCGTTTCTTGCCCAGCTGGGTTTTCCCTCGAAGCAGCAGCTGTCTGTGATGCTTCTGAGGAAAGAACTGGTGGTTGAAATAGCTACAAAAGTGTAGTTGTTCACATTAGCGAGACTAGCTAGACATACAGCTAGTATATAGAGGTTTGAATATCTCCTGACTACAATGTTAGCACTCCTAACGTCACTCCACAAATAGTAAAGATCGGGAATCTGGGTATAAAAGAGAAGTTAGGTCAATTTTCCATTCCAAAAAGATTGTAGCTCAATACATTTTTTTTTTCTTGAAAAAAAATAAAATAAAAACGGGTACATCCACTGTCGTAACTGGAAAGGGGGAAGGGGCCGGGAAGACGAGAAGTCAGCACTGCTATTCCGATAACCTCCTAAGGTGGCTGGAAGGCTGTTCTCAGGTTGGACCACATTGATTTGGTCAGGTAATTTGCTGCCATCTCGGACGTGGGGCAGTAGGATAGCTCGAGTCTCCCTTTCTCGATCTCGTCCTTCACGAAGAAGTAGCGTAGGGCGATGTGCTTCGTTCGGTTCGCGAACCCGCTCTTGTTCGCTATACGAATTGCAGATTGGTTGTCGCAGAAGAGGGAGAAGCTGGGTAACTGGGCCGGCTTTGCTTCTTCCAATAGTTCGCGAACGTACAGTCCTTCCTTGGTGGCTGAGTAGAGTGCTATGTATTCGGCTTCAGCAGAGGAGTGAGCAATTAGTTCTTGCTTGCTCGACTGCCACGAGATAGGACTGGCGGGCTCAAGTCGATAGATGTAGCCGGTTCGCGATCGCCTGTTGTCAGAGTCGCCTTCGTGGTCAGCGTCCACGTAGCCGATTAGCTTTGGAATAGTGGTTCCGGTCTTCTGGTAGGTTAGGCCGATTGTTGGTGTGCTGGCGAGATAGTGTAATGCGCGGTCGAGTTCCGCCATGTGTTCTACTTCGGGCCATTTGAGATAGGTGGCAAGCTGGCTCGCTAAGTACGACAGGTCCGGTCTGCATGTAACGGCTGCGAAGAGTAAGCATCCAAGTTTTCGCTGGTAGTCGCGTAGTCCGGAAGGTCCGAACGGATTAGACTTTTCCTGGTGATTTTCGGCGGTGTATCAGTAGGGCGTCGATATGACGGTTGGCGATAATCCGAAGCATTTGGCGATTGTGTCGGTGTATTTTGCAGCGCTGAGGTAGATCGCGTTCTCTCCGTCGAGTATGTTGAGTCCCAGGTACTGAGTTACGGTAGAAGAGACTGAGTGAGAGATCCCGTTGTAGCTCCCCTTCAAACCAGGTGGTGATGTCGTCGGTGGAGCCTATGTAGAGCAGGTCGTCTACGCACATGATCAGTAGGATGTATTAGGCTTCCTTCGTGACTCTGTGTCAAAGTAACGAACGACAGTGAATGAACTAAGGAAGAGTTGGGTAGAAGTACTAACCCTAATTGGGTTGTACCCCTTATGGGCTACCCCACTATAGCCTACACAAAGTAAGCAATACAACATTTTGACACACCCCCATAGGCAAAGTGGGGGAGAACAAGTGGTCACAAGACCAGTCAAGAAAAGCAAAGCAAGCTCAGGGTGGATCACGAAGTCACCACACATTCCGAGCACAAGGAAAGGCCACAAGGCCAGTTCACATGCAGAGTTATATAAAAGAGAACAAACAGTACAGTGATCATACCCTAGCAAGTGTAAGCATGCAGGTATATATATAGATCACAGTACAAGCAAAGTCAAGCAGTGAGAAAGTGAGGCAAAGTAGGCACAAGGCCTAAAACAGTACAGAAACGCTGATGATCACCAGACTGAAGTGCCTCAGTGAATATATCAGCAGTATTGACCTGAGTGGCCACGTACACAAGATGAAGCTGACCACGCTACTGCAACTCTCGAGCAAGGAAGTAACGCAGAGCGATGTGCTTTGCTCTGTGTTCCAGTCTGTGCTCCTGACACAAGGCAATCATGGCCTTGTTGTCTACGTACAGAACAGGACGAGAACGAGGCCGCTCTCCCAAGTCGGTCATCAGGTAGGTGAGC